AAAATGGACTTACCAACTTTCCCACTCTAAGCTAGCGATATCTTTCGTTATCATTTTACTATATCGAAAAATGTATCTTTGAATATTTCCTGCAGGCAACTTGCTAAAATCACTATCTACCCATTTTATTGGCCAAAAACTAAGTAGTAATGCGGTGAGCACCTCAGCAGCAGTCAGTAAATCTCGCCCAGCCTTAGATGCCCATAGACATAGATTATTTTCCAGCTGCTTGGTTTTTCTTAATGTTACGTTTTTTTTTTTTTGATAATTTTTTGTTGATCGAAATTTGGGTTAACTTAGTTGGCTACGTAATTTGGCTTGTCGGAACAATTTGCCCACAATGATTGTGTGAGAGCAATTGCCGTTGCTTAATGCTGCTGGTAGGGAACGATGTCGGGGGTCAAATTGGCTGTCACATTGGCACTTGCTAACTAAGTTAGCTGGCAAACGGTTAGATTCAAGTGAGATTTGCCGGTGGCTTTTGGCTGCTTATCAGACGTATTTACGTATTATACTCTGCTTGAGGTGGTCGGAAACTATTTCTCAATCGGCGTCGAGAAAGACTTTATTAATTGAAATGGTTAAATAACTTTTTGCTGCATTTCTATTACTAAATCTGGCTTAAATGTAGTGAATGGCCCACTGAACGCTGAATAGTAGAGAGTAGTAGTTCTTCTTGTCACCTTCTGAACTATCAAACAATTTTGTTTAAATTTAAAAAATAATGAGTATGTCGGTTGCATATTCTATTACCACATAGCTCCACTGGAAAACACCGATTGTCTACCAACTGTCATTTTGACAGATAGTTGCGAGCATTTGCCAAATGGAAATTGTTTTGAAAGTCCCCAATTCAGAAATATTTTTCAATGGGGTTGCCACTTAGTTTCTATAGTATATTCATTTAATTTTTTGTTTAATTTAAGAAATATTTTCGTTGAGGGCGTTTTTTTAATACCAATATTACTAATTTCAACGAGCATTTTTTAAGTAGGTACATTTATATCATATGTAATATGTGCTCTTCAACCTGTCGCACTTCTTAATAGGGTTGTCACCTAATTTTTGATGTCAAATATTTTTTAAATTTGTTAGATTCAAGAAGGAAACATTTTTTTAATTATGTCAAAAACATTATTTTTGTAGAATTCTGGGGTATTGACTCGGCAAAAATATTGAATGTATTAAAATTAAAATTATTTTTTCAAAGTTTTTAAAATTTATTAGATTCAAGAAGGAAACGATTTTTTATTTGTGTCAAAAACACTATATTTCTAGAATTCTGAGGTATTGACTCGGCAAAAATATTAAAGGTATTAATATTAAAATTATTTTTTCAATCTTTGTTATTTTTTTTGTTCCACTGAATACTTCTTAGGCTAAAATATTAAAGCATTGATAACTCCTTTTGTATCGTCATAATTTTTATGGAAAGAGGCATTGGCGACGAAAAAGCAATAATTATCCAGTATATAAATTTAAACAAATTCATAGTCAATGTATAACCAAAAGATTATGTACCATTTTTGTATTATCAACAAATTATGTCAAGTTTTTGATTTACCAACTTGGGTGCGCAATTTGTGAATTACCAAAACCTATTATTTATGTTCTGTGTTTACGAAATCGAAATTATGAAAATACGAAATTTATGTCGAATATTTGTAAGGATAAAAATATCCGGTTTAGATAGCAAGTATTTATGTCCAGTTTTTAAATGGCCAAAATTTACATTTGATAAAGGAAAATTCATGTCTAATTTATAATGACTTAAAGATTATGTTTGGTTTTTGCACTCTCAAAAATGTATACCAAATTCTTAATTTAGCACATTGTTCAGTTTTTAAATTAGCACAAATTTATGTCAAACTTTTGATTGACAAAAAAGAACAAAACCTGTATGTAAATAACTTACCAAAAATGTATGTCTAGTTTATTTAATGGCCAGCTATTTGAGTCTAGTTTTTTATGGTCAAAAGTTATGACCAGCTGCTGAATAACAAACAAATTATGTTTATCTAGCTTCTAAACTACCATATCTAATGCCCAGTTTTTTATATTAAGTACTAAAAATCGATGTCCACTGTTTGCACTCAAGCGCTCATATACACCTATGTACATAGTATGAACATATCGTCGCCTGGATAAAAGATTGTCGTAAGCGCCATTTTGACGATTTTGAGTTATAGATGCAGTTATATAGTATTTTAACATGTCAATACATGTTTTTATTCAATATTTTGGAAGTTGCATAATCTACCTATTTCACATGAAAGTCTCGTGAGTAACAAGAGCACTCAAATTGCATTTCTTATGGCACTCAAAGATCGTTACCAATTTTTTACTCAAATGAAATTGCAGACAAATTGTGTTTTAGTAGCCGATCAGGTGCTTGTGCTCATAAAATTTTGATAGTGATTGAGGAAAGAAGTGAAGTAACAATGATGGACAAAGCGACGATTGAAATTGATGTACATACAATACATACAGTGACTCAAATAAATGACCGCGTGTTGATTTTTTTTTTTTAATATTAGTAATGTTCTTTGAGTTAAAATTTTTTATTTATTTTTTATTTGTTTTTTGTTATTTTTTGGCCATTTAACAATTATATTCAACAATTTTATAATGAGCTCGAGGCCATTTTTAAATGAAAAATTTATTGTGGAAAAGCAACAACAATTTGAAAAAATGGTAGAAGTGATAGCTATTTCGGAAATCACCACATTTCCTCATCAGACTTCTTTCAGTAGGATTCGAACCGACGATCCCACTGACTCAGCCAGTTGCCCATGCACCGCGCTAAGACGCCTTGTAAATTATCGTTTGCTTATTTCCACTATTTTTCATTTTTTTTTTGCCAACACAATCAAGCGCAGCTATTCCGCTGCAATTCACTTGATCATGTGGTTGTTGGTTTTGTTGGTTTGTGCTAATAATTCTATTTTTAGAATGCTTAACTTTTAGGTGTGCTCGTCCTTAAGTTATTTGTTTTTTGTTATTTTTTGGCCATTTAACAATTATATTCAACAATTTTATAATGAGCTCGAGGCCATTTTTAAATGAAAAATTTATTGTGGAAAAGCAACAACAATTTGAAAAAATGGTAGAAGTGATAGCTATTTCGGAAATCACCACATTTCCTCATCAGACTTCTTTCAGTAGGATTCGAACCGACGATCCCACTGACTCAGCCAGTTGCCTATGCACCGTGCTAAGACGCCTTGTAAATTATCGTTTGCTTATTTCCACTATTTTTCATTTTTGTTATGCCAACACAATCAAGCGCAGCTATTCCGCTGCAATTCACTTGATCATGTGGTTGTTGGTTTTGTTGGTTTGTGCTAATAATTCTATTTATTTTTTCTATAAAAATATCGTCGAAGTTAATCAAAACCATATAAATCACAGTTTCAAACTTTATACAAAATTTAGGAAAATTCAAAATTTCAACTTTTTAACCTGAATCTTTAGAACACTTTTATAGCCCATGCAATTTAAGTCGAATGAAGAGCAAGTTTTAAAACGGCTAAAAAATCCCTTTAATTTTTGGAAATATTTTTTGGTGAAGTATTTTTGCACGTTTTTCTAGAAAAACTTGCTCTTCATTAGACTAAAATTATATGGGCTCTAAAACTGCATACCCATAAATGTTCTAAAGATTCAAATTAAAAAGCTGAAATTTCGATGAAAATTTGTTGAATTTTTCTAAATTTTGTATAAAGTTAGAAACTGTGATTTATATGGTTGTTGTTAATTTTGATGGTATTTTTTTTTATAGAAAAGCAACAAAAAAAAAATTTGCTCGAAAAACATTACGAATATTAAAAAAAAAAAAAAAAACATCAACACGTGGTTGTTTGTTAGAGTCACTGTGTATGTGCTATTACTTGTTGTCCCAATGCTGTACATATAAATATGCCTGTATGGGTGCAAACAACAAAAAGGCAAATTGCTAACAAAAAGAAAAAGTGTAACATGGCATTAAAGCATAACGCTGGCTATTCAAGCACGAAAAAGTAGATGATAGATGAAGTGAATTAATGGAACAGCCTACAAATGGCCGATTGACCGACTGACTGCTGCGCAGCCGATCGATGGCGTTATTAGTTGGTGAACAATTTTATTAATGAATTTTTATTAGCGTTTTTATTTTTTGTTTTTTTTTTGGTACGAAGCCATTAAAGCTAGATGCGTGCGTAAAAAATGTGAATAGAGAGTATGTTTTTTTCACTCAAGATATGCAGATGTGTGGTGTGGTCGCATTTGTATACAAAAGTAATTGCATATTTTCATTGCTAAAGCTTCAAAATCAAGGACTGTGAAGCAATTTTACATCAGCATAAGGTGTCTATTGTGCCACATGGTCCATAGAGAGTCCAACGCCACCACTATTAGACCAAATGAAGGCACTGGCAAGTGAGCTGAGCTTGAAGTACGCATATCTTCTAATGCGTATTCTTAAAACATAAATGGGCGGAGGTAGCCATTATTTCCTCTTCATTGGCAGCGGCATTTAACCTTTGTAAATACTAATTGTTATTATGCGCATTGGCAGAACGCAAAAAAGGCGGAAGCCACACGCTAGTGTTGGTGTGCGGCGTGTGGCTTTCTCAGTTGGTTGATTTATTTTACACACAAAGGCATAATCTATAAACATTAAAAAGGCGTGAGAACGGAAATAATGGCATGAAAAGAACCTTTTACGCTCAGCATTTAACATTAGACGGCGTATGAATTGAGTTATTCTGTTGAGGTGGTTAAGTGTTTACTTATGTAAGTGTATATGTATAGATCAGCAAGGCACAACACATTATAATAATTGTCGAAATTACGCGTTAAGCTTGCTCGAAATGAATGCAATCAGTTGAGCTTCTCAGTCACTTTGGTAAAAGACCACCCATCGAGTTGCTCGCTTAAGTCTTTTGATTTCCTGGTCGATTCGAGAAAAAAGGGATACTTAACATAAATATGTACTTCTTTACTTTACTTGCTCTCACCTGCTTCAATTGCCACTGCAATGTGTTCACTTGATTTTGCAGCAATACCGCTTGCACATTCGCTGTTGTCGCTGCATTATCGCTGTGATGCGCCTTAAAGGCGGGTAAGCGCTGTTCGATGCAGTTCGCCGGTGGAGTGCTGCGGACTGCAGTTGGTGACGGTGTTGTTACTGCAATCGGCTTGGCTGTGGCATAATGAGTTGTTAGCGTCGAACGTGTGGCAGCTACTGGTGGCAAAGCTGCTGTTGCAACATTGTCAACATCATCCTCAACGTTCGCGTCATCCTCGACATCAGCAAACAGTAGATTGTCACACTGAAAAAAGGGGGCAAAAAACGGGAAAAATTAAAAGCTTGTCTAAGCAAAAAATGCGCATAACAAGCTGCAAAAATGAGCTCGGCTGTAGCGCTGTATGTGTTTTGTTTTGTGGCAGCTGCGTTTGTGTGCGTTCGCCACAACAACAGAACCAACAAGTTTTTTTTTGTTTTCATGCATTTCCGAGACACCACACTTCCTCTTCAAATTAAATTAAAATAGTTGGCGCAATAAGTTGTGCCACTTGAATTCGGAAACTTGTTCGCCGATACCGAAATATGCACACGCTTACCCACACAGCAATGCGCAGTTAATAAAAGTAGTTCAATTTTTTTGTTTGTTTTATTTTCAAATGTTGCGCCTTTTGACGGCCTGCATTAATTATGTTGTTTTACAGTTGGAATGTTTAATTGCAGTTTATATGTACGAGCATACAAGTAATGCCAGTCTGGGCGTACTCACACCAGGGCACACACATACATACATACATATATATGTATGCACGTTAAGTAAATGAATTCAAGTAAGTGCGGCTGCTGAATTATGTGGCTTATACATATTTACTGGTATTAGCACTTATCCGGACAGACATGTGTGCATAACTGCAATTGAATAAAAGTGTGAAAACGAAATTTAGGAATGGGCAAAATTTAGTGCTGGAGCTACAAAGCTACAAACGTACATTCATTAGATGTTTTTAATACTAGTTGCATGGAAGGAAAAAATATGCACTTCCGCATAGCAGATCAACAGCGAGGAAAAATTTATTTTATTTTTTTGAAGGTTTATATGTATGTACATATATGCAATTTTAAATAATTGAAACAACGAGTGTATGTGGTGTATGAGTTATGTAAATACATCCTTACTAATATTACAAAATGCGAAAGTGAGTTTGTTTGTAACGATTTTACGCGTTAACTACTCAATCGATTTATCATGAAATTTTGCACACTAGTGTCATTTGGCCCAACTTAAAATATAGGACAAAGCGGCGTGGCTCCTCCCCCAAAAACTGAGTTTTTCACACCGCATATCTCTGGAAGTGTTTGTGGTAGAGTTCTTGAACTTGGTATGGAGATACATATATAAAATGTATACCAAAATGGAGAAAAATGGGCATTATTGGAGAATTGGGTGTGGCACCTCCTATTAAAAAGATAAAGTAAACTTGAACTAAGTGAATCAGGTAATTGAAATATAAGTATGTCAGACGAAAGAGGTTTAATAAGATTTTTGTTTGAAAATATTTTGAAGGCGTTGCCACCTCTTTAAAAAGTCGTACTCAGATTATTTAATAAATGAATTATTATAATATGGGTATCAATAGAAATGATTTTGAAAGGGCCTCATTTTTAAATTACAAGTATGAGAGCCAGTATGTAGAGTGTCATTGAGGACAAATTTTTCCCCCGCCAAAAATGATAAGGACCTCTCCGCAGCGTCTTGGACACATGCCGCTCCAGTGGAAATATTCTTAGATTTCCATTACTAGAGAAGGAAAGCAAAGGCACCCACGAACACAGTGGAAGGATCAAGTGCAGAAGAACCTGACTACACTTGATTTGGATAACTGGCGTTATTTCATAAAGCGGAGAGGAAATGGCGATGTTTTTGGTTCTCGGCCCCAAGCGACAAACTGCAACAAGAAGACGCTTTTTTTAAATTAATTAACCCATAACTAGTAACTCGAAGAGCTTTTAGGTAGTATCTGTCTACTACTTATATGTACCCTCCGTCGGAGTCAGTACACCTGGTCCGAGCCGAGTGTTGATAAAAATTGTTCTTCTAGAAAAGAAAAAACCATTCTAGATATGTAATATATACATATGCATTTATAGAGTCAATGCTAATTAAGGCAAGAATATCGATAACGATAAAATAAGTATGACGATAACATGCAAAAATAACTTTCAATAACAGTACTTCAATTGAGATGGTGTGATAAAAGAAGTCAATGCTTTTCCAACAAAAAATATTAGCTGCAGGAAAAAATTGATATTATCTAGATATCGATAAAAATATCGAAAAGAAATTTGACAGTAATAGAAGCTACAGAAAAACTACAATCGATTTATTCGCCGACATTGGTGTTTATACTAGTCACACTAATAATTATTTTAACATCGATTCCTATAGCATCGTTAAGCATATCGATTGAAATATACTTCAGGTTAACCCCCTGGGCTGTTGTTGGTTACTCAAAAGTTTCCGGAATATTAGACCGATATTCCTTATATGAACATGCAAATATAGTACAGGTAAATAAAACGCTATATATGCAACTAAAATATGCAAATAACTTTAATTTATTATTTCCGAACCTGCGCAATTCTCCTTTTAACCGATCTTCCCTAAAAGCCATTACGTGAACGCATTAAAATAAATGCGATTGCAAATTTATTTGCCCTGATTGCTTTAACTCTCTCTCTCCTCTGTGCCACTAATGTGTCATCATTGTCATTGTTGTTGCATATACATACGTATGTATAACGTTTGGTTAAAAAAAGATGCCACACAATAGAAATTTAATAGAAATTTGTATTTTATTTTTTTTTAGCAAAATATCTGCATTGTTAACAATTTTAAATTGTTGCGGCTGAAAATTGTTGTTATTTTCGTTGTGGCACAAATTGTGGCCATCATTGTTGTTGACTGCGGCAGTGGTACTTATGTATATACATTTGTACATATGTATGTATGTATCTATGTACCCGGTAGCAAGCTATCCAATTGCTCTCTCATCATCCATTATCAGACACAACTTCACATACATTTATGCACACAAATGGGTGTCTCTGATTAAATGCAGACCTGCAAAAAGGTACATTAAATTATGTAGGTAAACATAAATACTATACGTGTAAGTAAGTATGCAGCAATTTTGATGAAAATCGCATAATTGAACAAAAATTGCGCTCTGCACAAAAGAATGGAAATGCTGAGCTAATTTTTTGTTCAGTTACATACATACATATGTACCAACATACATATATATGCAGCTGATTGTTCATGAATAGATTTACATATTTGTTATAAATATATGTACATACATATGCAGTTAAAAATTGATGATGTGGCGTATTTTTTGTTTTTATAAAAATTGCATTCAGCACTAAAATAGCTATGTATGTCTGTATGTGTAGGGGTGTAATTATAAAAAATACATGTCATTATTTATTTCTGGGTCACTTAGCTTCTGCTACTTCATTTTTAAATTAATTACTAAGCATATGTCCGCTTAGCGGTAAGTTATTCTGCTTAGCAAATAGGCCCACATAATTTAATGGTTCTCTGCTGCAACAAAGTCACCAAAGTTATACTTACAGAAAAATTATACGAAAACTGTTGGTTGGTTAAGGGGGGGAAATAACTTGTAAATATTAAGAGATCGATTTTGAAAATACTCCTGGAAAATAAATTTTTTTTTAAAAACTAATCCAATGAAAAGATTCAGCAGGCCTTGGCAATTTCCTATCGATGATAATGGGTGAAGGACTAAAGCCCTTTATGAACCAATTGCATGGGCCTTATTAGACCGCTTTTCGCATTACAAAGGGAAGCTGTCTCTACAACGCCATGTCTAAATTTTGGATAACTGAGAAACTAATACGGGGCTATGTAGGATAACGTTGAGCACATTATTTATCTCCATCCAATTGATAAGGAGCTCTACGCATCGTTCGAGACTTAGCGAGGCTCCCTTTCGTTCAATTTGATTTTGGAAAACGTAATAAGAGCTGCCAATCTGAATTGCTGACGTATGCAGATGACGTCGAAAGAAAAAGAACCAAAAGAGGTTGTGGTCTAGCAAAAACTGTTGGATGTTTAAGGGCGAAAAAAGTTAAAAATATTAAGAGATCGCTTTCAAAAAATTTCTAAGTAAAAAAATTCTGAATTCCCGCAAATCTCAAATGCTGGTATTTGGCACGGTGCACATTAGAGCGATACGATACGCAATACCATATGCGGTGTGATAGCAAACGGTGTCGCACGGCCGATATGCAAGCGATATTATGTCGCTCCGTGCCTTAGTCTTTCACATTTTCATATCCTCTGTTTTAGTCATAAAGAACTCACGATGATCAGTAAAGGGTCTTCTTTTCCCTATGGTTTGCCTCCACATAAAACCGACTCTGTGTGATGTACGGACTGGTGAAAATAAGTTAAGCTCTAAACTTTTCGCCATAAATATTTCCTCATTAACCAGCAGATTTTTTTCAAAGCATTCTACGAGCTTGACATTGACCGAAATGCGAAAAACGTTTGATTTGTATAATTTTAAAGGCCAGAATACAGAACATATATGTCTGTAAAATATTAATTGCTAGCAGCTTGAATTATATAAAGGCAATTTGAAAGCCATGAAAGAAATTAAAATTGAATAGCATTGATAAAATGCCAGACATGTTAGGCAAATAGAGTAAGCTGTTTCAAAAAATGTGAGTAAATAATTGCTTTTGATGTCATATTGAAAAAAAACAGGCACAACAAAGCCACAAGCGGAGGTGCTGAGGGGGGGGGGGGCGGGCCTTTGAGGTCTCAAGCCACTTGCAATTAAAAAATTTAGAGATTTCGTTATAACCCCAAACAATTTTGTTATAGAGGCGGTCTTCCTTCGGTATGCCATGGAAAACCTCTGCCATAAAAACGCCTTTTGGGAGAGAAACTCGGCATTCTTATTCTTCTTCAACAAAGACCATCAATTGTGTTTAAGGAAACTCGATCTTGCACCTAGAAAAATGTATATATTTGTGAAAACAAGCTCATGGTTTCTAGAGTTAGATATCTGTCAAAATATCGAGACAAAGGCAAAAAACGACCAAAAGTCTTGACTTTTTCGTCTGCCCTCTTCAAACGAAAGACCTTTGTCAACCATTTTTTTTTTGTAGCGCTATAGTATCCCTATCGCTATCGCTATCGCTATCGCCATCACCATCGTTAACGCTATCGTTTGCTTTAGTTGTCGACTTTCAAATCGCTACGTGTGATATAATCGCAATGCCAGACCTAAGTTT